GTGCTGATTTAATATAGCAATCAAGGGAGTGTGAGGAATATGGAAAAAGCATTTGGAAGGTGAGTAGGAGGAAAAATGAAGTTAAATTACAGTGTGTTGAGGAGTAAATGGCAGAGTTATGAATGTGCAAATGGCTAATAAGAGCATTCCTTTTGATTGGAAGGAGGGCATTAGGTCAATAGTTAGAAATTCAAGGTCAAATGAAGGACAGTTTTTTCTCTCTCTCTTTCTGTGTGTGTGTCTCATTTTTCATGGTTACATAGTTTGTAAGTATGTTATATGCCATCAAGAAGAAATCTAGTGCCAATGAAGAGACTTGAAGTACAAAGAGAGGTGATTTTAGCCTTACCTTTTTTTGTTAGTGTGGGCTCAAGGAAATGACTCACAAATGGAATGTTGAAGTTCTAATCAGGCCTGTGTGTTAGAAATTTGACAGGTGTAGAAGGACTATGATGATATAATCTGCTTGTGTGATAACTTTTATTAAGCACTTGCTGTGTGCCAAGTTCTGAGTTAAGCACTTCACTTGTACTATCTAATTCCCATAACAACCCTAGGAGGTAGGTACTATTAAATTCATTGAACAGATGTGAAAACTAAAGCACAAAATGGTTCAATAATTTTCTCAAGGCCACATAGTTACTGTATGCTGGATCTTTCCATGCATTCAGATGGTCCTTTAGAGGAAGAAACTGAGGTTGAAGGAGGTGAAGTAAATTTTCTAGGAACCTGTATCTAATGAGTACTGGAATTATAATTCAGACCCAGGCTCTGGTATGAAAGCCACCACACTGTCATGAATTGAAGCTATTAAAATAGAGAATAGGTGCATATTTTTCTAGATCCAGCTCTGTAAGGCAAAACATTCCCTGAATTTGGGTGATGATAAGAACCTGCCTATATTTCAGGGAATTGATAGTGAAAGTATATGCTTCCTTTGTAATGCACCACACAGTATAATGCAGGGTGTTTGTAGAAAGTCCATAGTGAAAGCAGTGGCTGGAAAAAAAAAACAACGAGCTACTTAGGAGGGGTGGAGGAGTTCTCATGTGACTTCTACAGGTGGCTCCATGACAGTATACTTTGTCTTTTCACAGAGAGAATGCTCTGTGAAGCTCAGATGCTGTTCTTCCTCCTCACCTAAGATTTGCTAACAACCTGTTCTGACTAACAAGCTATCAGCCCACATTTGTAGACTATAAACATTATCCTAGTTGTGAAGCATGAGGCTGGGAAGAACAGCTTAATTGCTGTCCCTTCAGAGATAACTATCTCCCCAGCAGGAACAATGTGTGGAACAGGGGGAAGCAGGTGGTTGTACTGCCAAAATCCCCACTACTATACTCACTTGTCACTGCCAGGGTTTTCATCCAGTGATTGGTTTTTGAAGTGTAGCTTGATTGTAGTCTTCATATATGTAGATTTATTAATTTTTAATCAGAACATTATTATTCATAATTCAATGTGGCAATTTACAAGGTTTTGGTGTCTTTTTAACTTGATTCTGTTATATACAAAGACCAGCTTCTGTGTGTGTGTGTGTGTGTGTGTGTGTATTTGAACTCTGTGATTTTATAAGATTTCTTCCAGGTCTATTTTTATGTGATCAATAAATTAAAGTTGCAGTCCTTGCCCTTCAGGGAGCTTATTCTGCATTTCTTTCACTGAACCAATGATAATAATATCTGACTTCCTAATCCCTGGGTAGTTCCCATGCTTGATTGATTTGTATTCATCAACAACATCCTAAGAAGATCATTCACCGTTTAACATAGTGAAGTCAAATTTAAGATTTTGTTTACTAGGAACAATGAGATAAGAATAATAACTACCACATTGATAATAGTAAATTGAGAATGGAAAGAGGCAAGTGAGAACACATATAAAAATTCCCAAGAGGTGATATATTCTGGATAAAGTTGAGATATTTGCATATCTCAGTGAAAAGAGAAAATAACGTTAACTCAACTTAACATTTAAAATAGAAAAGTACCTGCTCTTTGGTGATAGGTGGGGGGAAATGCTAATGGGAGAAAATTAAAGGAATAAATTTTATTCACTACCTTTCTTTCACATAGAAAGCTACTTTTCCTTTACCTGTGAATTCTGGGAGAGCAAGAGGCCCTGCTAGTGGATTGAGGGGAAAGAGGAAGACAAATCAGTGGTTTTCCAAATAGCAGAGCAAGCTGAAGGAAAGATGGAGGCACTGATGGGCTTAACAACTAAATAAGTAAAACCCTTTCTCTGGAAAAATATATGCATAAAATATTTAACTGACATTAAATATTAACAACAAAGTAATGAAAACACCTGAAACACTTTATTTATGTAGGAAGTTTTCCCCCTTTTAAAAATGCTATTTTAAATCTGAAAATCACTTTAGATATGATTTAGGCAGAAAGTAGCTTGCCTCTCTGCAGGGGTGAGTATTGTAAGAAAGAGGATAAATGGACATGACCTCCAAATAAGCCTCTTATATCACTGCTTGCCAATTCACTGTGGTAAGAAAAATCTAAGTTTAAGATTTCCATGATAGAATGGATTGCTAGATGTTAGATGTTCTCAGTAAGCACTAGCATCCCCAGCCCCAGTACATATGTGAGAAGGATAAGGAAAATGAAAGCCATTTGCACTAGATTCTGATACTATGTGTCTTCCTTCTCTGCTTAGTGGCTCCAATGGTATGGTACCTTCCACCTGGCATTGCCTCTGAGTAGCTTTGTGAACTCCTTTGGGCTATTATGTTGGTTGGTACTTTGGCTTCTTTGGCTCCCAGCACCAGCTGATGGCTCTGATCTGAGTCCCAGTTGGGCAGGCTGTATTGCTCAGTACTGTAGCTGTCTTCAGGGCATTGTTCTTGAGACTTCCAACAGGGCAGATTTGTGCAGTTGGCCCATCTGGACAAGATCTATAACAAGTAGAGCTCTGTGCAATAAGCTCATCTCCATAGTCCACCCCCCCTGCTACCCCCGCCTTCGAGCTGCAGCAGCCTGACACCCCAGCCTCACCATGGAGAGTGTCAAAGAGATAACTCTCTGCTCCTTTCAAAGGCGTATTGCTTGTGCCTCTTATTGATTGGTAGTACCTGGGCAGAAATTGGAAAACAGGGACTCTTTGCCCTTCTCAATTTAATCTGTTCCCTTAAACCAGCTTTAAAATTTTGAACCTTGTTGGTGCTAGAATTATAATGTTACCAATAAAAATAATTTGTAGCACTTGGCTTGGTGCTTCACAACTGTAATCCTAGCACTTGAGAGGTGGAGGCAGGAAGATTGAGAGTTTGAGGCCAGCCTGGGCTATATAGCCAGACCCTGTTTCAAAAACACAACAAAAAATTCTATACCAGCTACCTTGATCATCCCAGAACACTGTCTTCAAAACCAAGAGACAGACAAGTATCTCAGTAAACAGGAAAGAGCAGACAAGTTCAATCTGAATAGAGAGAAAGAAAACTGAGCTTTGGGTTTATCTGTGGGATTTACTTTGACTATTGTATTTATTGACCTTCAATTTGGAACACCATATGGAGGGAGACAGGCAGAAGAAAGAGAGGAAAGGAGGGTGGGAGAGAGAGACAGACACTGAGACTGGACTTAAATAGATCTAGTTAATTATTCTGAAAATAAGAAAAAGACAAGATCTTGTCTAAGACATTATTTGATCACTTCTTCCAACTGTTAGCCCCACACTTTAATCTCTCCCATCTCATTCTGTTCCTCACAGTTGGGTCACTTCAAAGGACTCAGTGTACCGGGCCCATACTTCTCATGTCCCATTGGTATAAAATGGGCCCTTCTGTATCAACCCTTTCTATTCCAACCTTTCTGGTAGCTTTACCTGAGTGCTGCACCTCCTTGCTGCTCCTGCCTGTAGAAGGAGAAAGGGAAGCAAGAAAGGGGTGAAGAAGAACCTTGATTGTGGCTCTCTAACTTGCATAACTACTACCCTGAAGTTGGTTGAATTGGTGTTTGTCCAGGATAGGGGCCCTGTATATGCCTAGTTCCTCCCCCTGAACTTTGAAACACACTCTATCCAGAACAAGTTTGCATGGTAGGCACTGTTATTTGCTCACCAAAAGGAAATAAAGGAGAAAGTTGGGAATGAGGAGTCTGGGAAACTAAAGAGACTTTGGAGAAAAAGAAGAAACAAAACCCAGAGAACAGCAAACTCCGAGGATAGTTTCTATTTTCTGTTATTCCGAGTTGTACTACCTTTGATCTCATTTTTCTTAGAATCATCAAGAAAGTTTCTTAAAGAATAAGCATTTTGTCTTTTTACACAACCCAGCAGGCTAACAAACATTGACACAATGCTAGTTAGTCAGGGAATAGAAAAATATTTCTGAGGACGTTCTGGTGGACCCTTTTTGAGTGTCTAAGGTTTCTGCCACAATTCTGACAGTATTGAGTTTCCCAGGAGAGTTGATGACCTCTCATTTGGGCCATATATATAATAATACCCTAACTAAGTACAGCCTATGACTATTCCTGGTGGGGAATCTGTGCCTTTGTCTTCCTTTCACTGTAAGGACACCTGACTGGGTCACGGAGAACAGCACTTATAGATGGGAAAGACTCCCTATTCAAGCTTATAGTAGGAGGAACAGAGGGGCTGAGTAAAGGCCAGGCTCTGGGTGGGAGGTGCAAGGTTGAGGAGTGGTACAGATTAAGATGAGAAAAATCAGAATCTAGTAGCACTGGTCTGAATATTCTTCATTGAAGTAGTAGAAAATGGGGACAGGCAGCAAGGGCAGAAAGTAATCTTGGCCCTAGGAACATGGCTAAATTTTAGTTGTATGAGAAATGGAGAGTGAAGAAAATCTAGATTAGCCATGTTTATAACTACAGCCACCATTGGCACTATGCAGTATAGGCCCACATAGCTTTGGGACTGTAGTTGAAGTTCTGAGTGAGAGGTCAAGAAGGAATTGTCCAAGCCCCTGATGGAGTGTAATGGAAGGGGAAAGCCCACCCAGGAGAAAGCAGGGAACCAGCCGCTGAACTCTATAGTCCCCATCATATTCACAGTGCCTGGTGGATATCTTCTGACTGTAGCACTTTATAGACAACCCAGTAGAAGATATTGAAGATGAGAAAAGTGAAAGGGAAGACAGCCCGGGAGATGGTGTCAATTCTCTTGGCTCGGTCCACATAGAGTTTCCGCATAGTTTCTCCCTCCTTTAGAAGAGGGGCTGGAGGTTGGGGTCTATAAATACTGGAACCTTCTATTGGACCTCCATCCCTTGCCTGCAAGCAGTGTCCCAGGCCATAGCCACGGAAATAGCAGCGGCTTTCTCTTATGATGTCTTCCTCCTGGAATCACAAGAAAAGGCAGAATTTGAGGTCAAAGTTCTAGGGCAGAGAGCTAGGTCAGACATAAATGTCCTATAAGTGATGCAGTGCAGACACGGTGGCTGCATGCTTTTTCATAGCCACAAAATTATTCATGAGACAATTTTATATGCTAAGTTATGTGGTACATATGGTATATGCTATGATTTCATTTACAGATAGGCCCCAAACTATCTTTTTTAAATGCATGATATCATCCAAAGCCATCTAAAACCCAGTGAAGTGCCAATCACTGTAAGAGGGACATCTCAATGTCAAATTATCGCTGACTGGTAATAAACAGAACAACAAAACCATCAGACAGTGAAGCCAAGATATTTAGATTTGGTGAAATTGATTTTAATGAATTTCAAAAGCTTCTGAACTAGTTCTCCCTGTATATAGTATCTTTAAAAATTATCTTGATTCAAATCTGCAAATTCCAAAAGTTTAATGGGCTAGCCAAAGTAGATTACTATATTGCAGATATGTGTGCTTCTCATCAGATCAGCAGATTTGACCATAGGGGTCAGTATGTCCAGGATAACATTTATTACCCAATGCATGTTCCATTCATGTACAATACATTCCTTATGATAAGCACATTAACATTGAGGGGATAGATTTTATATAAGCACTAAGTAATGTGGCACACTGCAGAAAGCCCATTAATCCAATGGACTAGCTGACAACCTTAAGTAGCTACAACACAGCTGGAGGCAGAAAGTAAGGACAGAAAGATAGTCATAGAGATAGACATGATAGGGAAGAAAGAGGAGAGGGGGAGAGAAGAGAGGGGAGATGAGCAGGAAGGGAAAGAGGGGGGAGAGAAAGAGAAGAGAAGAGAAGAGATCACTCAGTCCTTGAGTGCTCAGTGAAGTTTTATATATATGCAAGAGGCCTTCACACCCTCACTCAGAACTTATTTACTCTTATTTTAGGACAGAGTTGAGAAGTATGTCCTTCAAAGATGGTTATAAATGTAAAAAGTATTGAAAGTTCTGGAGTACAAGCTCTAGCTATCTAAGAGATTACCTGAAGTGAAATGCTCCCTTGTAAGATGATACCAACTCTCAGTTTGCCTAGAACTAAGGGGATTCCTGCAACTTAGGTTTTTCAATGCTAAAACTAGGGATGTCCAAGGCAAACCAGGCAGAGTTAGTCACCCTAGTTGCCCTAGGAAGTTACTATAAATTATAAGAACAAAATATGGATATAACATAAGTATATATGTACATATATATATGAATATATATGTACATATATACATATATACCTGTAACGTAGATAAAGTCGATTTTAAACACTCTGTGTAGCTAGAGACGTAAGATCTTTATAATGGGACCTCTGTAACTATGAAAAGTGGCTTTGTAGATAAGACATTGGTGTGGTAGATCCTTGATAATTACATCACTGGAAGCTGGCCATTCATGACACAAGGCCTATTACTGGGCATCAGAGACAGGCAAACTCTGGCCAGAAAATCACCAACAGATCCTACTCCTTTCTCTGCTGACTGTGAGCAAACAAACTTGAGATACGACATTGAGCTTGTTCACTGCTGTATCCTCAGTGCCTACCACTGTACTTGGGCCCTGAAAGATACTCAGATATCTGTTGAATTAAATGAATCGACTGATGAGCCACATGCTTTGGAATATGGGGAAGGGAATGGCTTTTTGTTTTTGTGAAGCCAGGACCCTCTCATGGTCTCAAACCCAAGAGTCTACTCAAAAGAATCTCACTCAGTTGCAGAGTACTTGGCAGGAAAAACAGTTACTCTTTGCCCCAACCTGCACACTGGTCTAATGCCCTATGGTCTCTAGAAAGGGAATAGCCCTTTTGGCATAGGAAAGAATTGAAGTTTGTCCACCAGAGAGCTTTGCTGCCCTATCCTTGATTTATCAGGGTCTTTATGGAGATAGTTATATGTGTGGGGGCCAGAGGCAATTCACTATTGTGGTTATACTTAAACTCTGAGCTGTTGTAGTGGGGCAGCTTTAGTTCTCTGCTCAAATTTATTCCCATAACCTCTTTAACCTTGGCTAACCTCACATGTCTTCTGTAATTCATTTTCACACTCTCCCTACAGGGGAGGTTTTCTGGGCTCATTTTAGAGATAAAGAACCAGAGGCAAGCAAAATATCACCCAAGGAATTGAAAAAAATATGAGAGGGGGTAAGTAAAATGATTTTCTCCCTTGCTTTCCAACTCAGTGTCCTTCAGACCACCTGTCCCCCACTACTCACCCCCTCCCCCTCCCCAGGTAGAGAAAACAAGCACAGAATGTACCTGTTTGTAAAGTGTTCTGAAGGAAAAAGGTGGATACAACTGGTATTTTTGTTTCTATAAATCCATTTATTTCCCCCTTTCTCCAATCACAGTAAACCTAAAAGGGAATTATTTGGAAACATTTCCCAGGCTGGAAAATGCCATTTCATGCAAGAGAGAAAAATATGACCAATAGAGTAAGTTTCTCTTCCCTCTTTTTGATTCTAACATGTATCTCTTGTAGTTAGGGTAACTAAGCTGAGTGGCCTGAAATCTAACGGTGAGGAGTTCTGGGTTTGGGTATTATCTATTTAGGTTAAATTCTGATGGGTGTGTGCTTGTATGTATGTGTTGGGGAGGAACAATGGAGCCTTAAATACCACTTTGTGATTTCCATGACTTTTGACATAGAACTACATTTTTTCCATCTATCTGTAAGGGGGTGGGGAGAAAACTAGAGAAAGAAGATATTCTAGACCCAGCTTGGGGAGGGAAGGCACAGTATAGGTGTCCTGTTGAGATGGGAAAGAGTGATACATATTGAAATGAGTGAGGCAGGAAGAAAAGAGATTGTAGATGAGGGAGGGTGCTAGATGAAGGATGGAGAGAAGTAAGCAGGATTCTGGGACCAAACCTCTGAGAGGACTTGGCAGTATTTTGACATTTCTTCCAGTTCTCAAGTTAGCCTATTAATAATGGTAAGGCTCTCTCTGTATCCAGTTTGACAGAGAGTCCTTGACAATCAACCTGCAAAAGTGATTACATGACTGCTGTGTTCACCCTTTCCTGTGAATCTTATAGACAGTTGGGAAGACAAAGCAAAGATTCAAGGGAAAAAACTCAACTATTTTAGACAGTGACATGGAAGGAGACCACCATGTAGTGAAGGTAGGTGGTTGAGGATCAATTAGAGAAGAAAATGATTAAGCTTATTACTGGGTTAAAAGCTGGCTGGCTCCTAGAATACCCCTATTTTGATTTTGGCTAAGGACTTCCTAAAATCATAAGGCTCCTCCACCCCACCCTCACCATCAGGCTCCTCTTACTTATACTGAAGGCTTCTGTTTATATAGCTGGAGCAGCAGGGCCCAGAGAAATGTTCTAGAAATGGATTAATTTTCTATCAACTTGTTCACCTTTTCTTGATGCCTCCAGGATTCCTACTGCAGTTCTACTGAGAAGATAATAGCTTTAGAAGACTCAAGAAGAGACTTGATTAATGGCCCAGATTTGATTTGTAGGCTTTATTCTCATTAATAATAAACTTCAGCCTACTTTCAGGCAGGCTCCAGGGTCTTAAGCAGGCCCCCGGATGCTGTTACGACTGTAATAATTGAGCACTGATTATGACATACTCCATTATGAGCTCAGGGTCAACTTTTATAAAATCAGGAGGGGACAAACTATGGGCAGTTGGGGGTTGGGTGGGTGTGGGGCAGGAGGTGAAATTAGTGTTATCTTGGAGTAGTGCTATAGTAACTATAGCAGTATTTGGTGCTGGGACATCAACACAGGCAGTTTACCTGAGAAAAGGACTCTGGGCAGATTGGTGGCCTGCTTCTTTTCCAAGGTAGGTACTGAGAAAATCAGAACTATTACAAAGATAAGATTTTGGTACGTGTGGGTAGGTAACTAAAGAAAGGGTGGGGGCAGTTATCTTAGAAAAGGGAGCATCCTCTTTTCTTTCCCCGGGTCAGGGGAAGAATTCAATATATGTTTTTCCAACTTTTAGCATGAGACAGGAAGGGCTTTTAAGGTCTGTTTAAGTCTTACTCAGTGAGATGTAGTTGTTTATCTGGCATCTTCCCAGTAGAGGGCGTGCTGCCTAGGAACCAAGGAGGTTCCTAGGTGCTCCTCTCACCAAAGAGGTGAGAATTAGTAAATTCAGAAAAAAAAAAACAAAAAACAAAAAAAACTACACAAGACAGAAGCCCTGCCCTCCACAAAAAGAAACCTTATCAATGGACTGAAACCATGGAGATAGTTTGTGAGATATTGTTAGTGTGGACATATAATAGCAGTGCCCCAGGAGCAGCTGAGGTGGTAGTCAGATGTTAGGAAGAGGAAAGAGGCCTTATCTTGATGTGGCTCTGACAGGCCAGAGCCAGAATTTTTTTTTTTTGCAGTGTATTGAATCCAGGAACTATGTACATGCTAGGCAAGCTGTCTGCCACTGAGCTATAACCAGAGCCCCAGTAGCCAGAATTTTAACAGTATGTTCAGGCAATTATTTTCTATCCCCCAGAGGTCATTATGTGCTTGCTCCTTTGGTTTTGAAGCCTCAGATTAGAAAAACATGGAGTCAGCTCAAGACAGACCAGAACTCCATGTCTCTGAACATTAAGTAACAAGTTTGTAGGCTTTCAGCTTTGCTCATAAATTAGACTCTTGCTTCTGTAAGAGTAGCCCAGGCACCTCTGTTGTCATGACAACTTACCTAGCACCTATTGCCTGAGCATTTGAGGGTAAACTACCTCTGTTGTCATGACGACAGCTTCCTCTTATATTTCCCCAGGTTATCACTCTACTGCAGAAGAAATGTGGTTAACAAACAAGAGTGAGGGAGAACAACATCTGAAGCCCAGCAACTCTGAGGAGCCTAATGAAGATCAAGAGGAAACCCAGCAACCAAAAGAGGCAAGTAGTGATGTTTCAATTCCAACTTAGTTACGGAAGTTATGAGAACCCTGTTTTAATGCTCCTATAGAAAGGTACTAGTGTCTGATTCTTAAATTCTTAACTACCAATTAGTGTAGGACAACCTGGGGTATAGGAAGAGCCAGGAACAAGCATTACTACTTCTCAAAGGAATGTCATATGAACTCAGTTGATAAGGTTCTAATACTAATATATTTTCAGTGTTTACTATGTTCCAGGTACTATGCCCATGCTCTTAATTATGCTATTGTCTTACAGGGTTTGATGTCCCATTGGCTAGATAAGGAAATAGAACCAAAGTACTTAGATTAACTGTGACCAACCTGGGACTAGAATCTGGGGTTCCTAATTGTCCAGATTTTGAGCTCTGGATTGGGTCTCAGTTTATGGGAAGAGTAGTAGGGGGAAAGGACTCTGAAGGAGAAAGGGAGTGGGGCCCTCTAGTGATACTCACCATGCGTTGGCGCCTCTGCCTTCTTTGAAGTCTCATGAATTCCTTATGCTGACGAGAGACAAAATTGACAGCAGCATACTCCAGCAGGGCGGCAAACACGAAGAGCAGGCAGACAGCCATCCAGATGTCGATCGCCTTTACATAGGACACCTACAACATCCATCAACAGGAAATCAACCTCCTTGGAGTCCTTCCATGACCTACCCAGTGGATTTCCAACCCATATCAATTGCCTGCTGTTTTTCATCTTTATCCTGAATTTCTGGTGGTTTTTAAAGAAGCTTACCACGACATGTCCCATTGTCTGAAGACCCATATGAAAGAGATCAAGCTTCCCATGATCCTTTACCTCTCTGTACTCTCCACCCTCCACTTCTGTCAGCCTTTCTTCCCTAGACTTCTTTTCCTTTTGTTCTTTATTCTTGTGGCATTTGTGCTACTTCTGATGCTGCTTATTATTCTCTTCATTCTTTTCTTCTGATTCTTTTCCTTTAATAAACAGCAATGATCATGAATGAGGCATTCATTTGCCCTCTCTTATGCCCTCAGGTTCTCATGGACATAGTGGTAATTGGGCAGGGTTCATGATTCACATGTCACATACATAAGGATGTTTGAGGCTCCAAAAGAAGCAGTCTTAGCAAAGATTACTCAGTGAGAAGGTAGCATGAGGACTTGGAAGTTCTGGGTTTTCAATTCAGTGGCCTTGCAATTTACTTAGGCTGTAGCCTCACTGACAGACTGGGATTTCCTTCATTGCCCTCTTCCTGTTCTTCCATTGACCCTGTGGTTTTTCCTGTTGCTCCTTGCAAGAGTCCCTGTTGAGGAATGAAGCTCAGCACTGAGCTAGGGCCTCATCTCTCACTTTGAATAGGAGAACAGGGAAGGATCACAGAAGTACCATCCACTCTGTCGTGGCACTTTCCTAACTGCAAGGTGCTGTTGGCATCTACCTAACCATCTCCTAGTACTCTCCTCTTAACATCCTACCTTGTCTTCCTTTAAGATTTTCTTATCTCCCACTTCTCTTGAGAAGGTTGAACACTCCTTGAACAGGGTTGCAGCTAGGTGAGGCCAGGAGGAGGGATAGAGTTCAAGTTTATGAGATCTTTTACCTCCTTAACCAGAGTGACCCCCTACATAGTTTTGAGCTCACCCATACAGCTCCATAGCAGGAGTAGGATTCATGATATGTGACTTCTTTTATCAGCTTCTCTTATGTTGATCAGGGAGAGTGTTGTAGATCCAAGTAAAGAGGATAAATTCCCTACCTTGGTGGCTTTTTTTTTCAGTGGTGGGGATTGAACTCAGGGCCCCATACATGCTAGGCAAGTGCTCTACCACTGAGCTACATTTCCAGCCTTAGTGATTCTTAACTGGGAAAAACTTTGCCCCACCCTTAGGGGGGCATTTAGAAATTTTTGGAGGTATATTTGGTCACACAAATCTAATGGCTAGAAGTCAGAAATGCTGCTAAACATCCTACCTCCCTCCCCCAGTTTCCTACTCCAAATGGCTACTCTAATTCCTTTAGGGTAATTCCACTGAAAGGGTGGTGGTGGATTACTAGGTAACCTTGATTAAGAATCCCTTGGCATCTCCACTTTGCCACCTATTTAAGAATGCTTCCTGTTTCATTTTCCATCTCCCAGTCCCACTGAGCCTCTAGGGATATCAAATACCTGCTGTGAAGATCACTAATGAATTAATGACAAGGGAGGGTAGTGAAAAGCTTGTTCAATTTGAGTGCCAATAATACATCCCAGAAATCCATCCACTCACTATTCTAGCTTATCTGAAGGAATGCAACAGTTTCCTAAATGGTCTCCCAAAATCTACTCTTAACATCTCCAATCTATTCTCCAAACAGCAGACAGACTTTTTAAATTTTTTTTATTATATTATTGTACTGGGGTCCGTTGTGACATTTACAAAAGTGCTTACAATATATCTTAGTTAAATTCACCCCCTCCATTATTCTTTATCCACTTCCCTTCTTGGAATAGTTTCAATAGGTCTCATTTTTACGTTTTCATACATGATTGCATAATATTTCTGCCATATTCACCCTCCTTCACCCCTTCCCTGTATCCTTCCCCCTCCCTCTGGTACCAACCCCAGACAGGACTAGTTTTAGTAAATCTGATCACATCACTCCCCTGCTTACAACCTTTCAGAAGTTTATCTTTACCCTTACAATACAGTCTTAATGTTCCACTTGCTGTGACATGTACCTCTGACTACCTCTTCAGCCTCATCGTGACCTTCGCAACCTATGACCCTGCTACAATGAACTATTCCAGTAGTTTTCTAAGGCATCAGTCTCCCCTTCCCCTTCTTTCCTTTACTTGGATAACTAAAGTATCCCTCAGTTTCTACTTTAGATACCACATCTTCTGAAAAGACTTCTCTGATCATCCCAGTCTATGTTGCCTTACTGCTATATATGTACACAGGTTACCTATACCTCCTTAGCATCCATCATACTAGTGGCCATTACTCCACCAGACTATGAGCTCTTTAATGGCAGGGACTATTTCTGTGTTGTTCATTGTTCTAGCCCCAATGCCTAACTCAATGCCTAGCACATAGAAAATATTTTTGAATGAATTGATGGATGATTTGACAATATATTTGTCTCTGCTGGCTTCTACTTCCTCTCTCTGCATTTCTCACCACTACCTACCTATCTCAAAAGCTAAGGGCTATTTAGATTATAGGATCTAGAGAGAATAAGGTACTTCCTCCCTGCTGCAACTTTGGGTCTAATCTTCCATTTAGCCCTTCTTTTCTACTCTAACCCACTTGCAGTTCTGGAGATTAAAGACTTGGCAAAGAATGGTGTTTGATGCTTTTGGGGACTCCCATAGGGGCAAATAAGGAGTGGTTTCCTGGGAACATGGGGAATGGCCACTTCTGCTACTCTCATTTTAGACACTAGAGTTGTATTGGGATTGGTGTGGCTTTCAGAAGTCCCTGGTCTTGCCTCAACTCTTTTCCTTGGTGTTCCCACCAAACTAAGGTTGTAAAAATTCAAGAGTGAACAGAAGCTCCAAGCTTACTGAGTCCTTGCTCTGTGGGACTGACTAATGAGGCTGTTTGGTTTCTGGGTGCATGCCTGGATATTTTGCTTACTGGCCAAAGAGGCTATTTTTAAAAAGTCATGAAAATTGGACAAGAAGGCACCAAATTTTGCAAACAACAATCTTCCAACAAAATCCATTTTTTTCCAAATGAGGAAACTTAAGTGATTTCTGGGAGCAGACTGATTGTGCTCATTCACAGGAGGGGACCAGAAAAGGAAATTCTCTTGGCAAGAAGGTGGCATAAATTTCAGTATCTCCCTGAGTTAGAGAAGACTCTCCTTGCCTGGTAGAGACAATAAACCAGGTCACGGTTCTTCAGACTGAACTTCTTTTCTGCCTTGGTCTCCATACAGGCCAGTATCATAACATAGCCATCACAGTCCCATTTGTCCCTGTGGCCCTTGAATAAATGTACCCTGCCCCTCAGAGCCTCCTCAGCACTCCTGTCCATCTAGGAAAAATACTTACAGAAAATGATCTCTTCCTCAGATACTTGATCCTGATCTGAGTTGTCAACATTTATTCCTATAGGGGACTTTGGACTACCTCAAAGTTGTCCCAGAAAATAAAAATAATTGGGGACAATACTAACTGCTTTAGTCCCAGATCCTACACTCATTTTTTTCAACTCTGACATCTGATTATTATAGCATGTTAATACTTATTGAGTGGTTATTATGTGCTAAACACTATCTTGTATTATTTAGTTACATATTATTTATATACATTATTTTTCACAATAACCCTATGGAAGAGGTAGCTTTCTCATTCTCACGTTACAGGTAAGGCAACTGAGAGGTTAAGGAATTTACTTAAGGTCACACTGTTAGTCAATGATGAGGCTGGCATTTAAACCCAAATCTTCTTGAATTTAATCTCCTACATTTAACCACTACTCTCCCCCATAACAAATTCATAAATTTACCATTGATGTTCCAGATTATCCCCTGCTTAAGTTCCCAATAAAAAAGTCTTATTAGGAACCAGCACTGAGAGATGGGAGATCTCAGGGCCTAGTTCCCAACAAATCAGAATAAGAGGGAATATGTTCACTTGCAAGATATTTAAGTAATTGTGTTGTTTTTGCTTCTTGTTATCCTCCATGACCAAGTGTAGTGCCTGGTACATAATACATGCTCAATAAATATTTATTGACTTAAAGAATGGTCTCAGGACCATGATTTGCTCAGTGCCTTGCCAACCATAAGGACTTTGAAGTAAACTAAAAATTCCCTACATGAAGACATGAGGCAGGAGAACTGTTGCCAGTGCCATCAACACAAATATTTCTGTGTAATCAAAACATCAGTAGGCCCAGATCAGAGTCATCTGCCTTTAATTGCTGTTTGCTACCTCAAAATGTTCTCTTCCCCAAAGAATAGGTACTGCATCTAGATCTTTCTAGTAGTATCTTATTTCTTACACAGTAAGAGGGCAGAAGTTGGTTCAAAATCCTGATAATTCTTTGGCTGTTTCTGATGGGGAATGACCTTGAGAAGGTTATATTACCTCTCTGGGCTGTGTTCCATTTGTAACATGAGGGAGTGGGGCTTTCTACTTGATAAGCATCTTTCAATCTCAGACATGTTAGTATTTCCTGAAGAAAGTCAAGTTAAGTAAGGCACTGTCTGTATTCATTTCCTAGCCAGACAGACAGCATTCCTAGCCTCAGTCTTCACATTGTTAGCAATGATCTTAGCTGTATGTTGTGGGAAAAAAGAAAATGTTAGACATCTGCTCTTGCTCAGTGGTTCTTCTTAACTTTAAATCCAAGGTAAATAGTGAGCAGGAGGGAGCATCAGATTAATGGGAAATGGGGAACTTGATGGCAAGCAGGTTCACTTGCATGTCTCCTCACCTTAGGCAGAGAGGCCCGGGAGCCAGAGCTCTGTGTTGTCATGGTGAGCACAGTGGTGATGCCAAGGCCTACACGGGCAGGAGCAGCATCCATATTGATCCAGAAGGAGACCCAGGACAGGATGACAATGAGTAGACTGGGGATGTACATCTGAATCAGATAGTAGCCCATCTGCCGTTCCAGGTGAAACTTTACCTCTATGCAAGTAAATTTCCCTGAAAGGAAAGACATGAAGTATCAAACCTCAGGTCTCCAGCATGCAGCTTATCCTGAGGAGAAGGACTTAGGTAGCCCTATCTCTGTTGGCCAGCCTCTAAGAGCACCTCAGTTGAGCCCACAAATGATTCTTTCAAAATGGCCCCAGGAAAAACCTTTTCTATGTACTAAGAAAGCTCTCAAAGCAGCCAAAATGATCACCTGCTTTTTCCCAGCACCTTCACTTCTAGCACAAGGTCTTTTAAGTGACAGCACAGCAAGAAGATAAAGAGCAAGAGAATTCCAGAGTCAAACTAGTTAGGTTGAATCCTGAACATTTCATTTGTTAGCTGTGTGGCCTTGGCAAAACTTAATCAAGGTTTTTGTTTTGTTTTGTTTTGTTTTTGAGACAGGGTCTTCCTGTGGGTTGGTATGGAAACTCATACTCTCCTACCCCAGCTTCCAAGTGCTGGAACTACATGTGCCACCACTCCCCGCTCCACCCAAACTCTTTGAACTTCAGTTTCTTCACCCATAAAGCAGAGTAATTACAACATCACCCACATTAGTGGGCTCTTAGAAAAATTAATGAGCTAAAATATATTTGGTGGTGTTGAGTACATGGGTAGTTGTTGTTAGTATTATTATATCACAAAGCAATTACTTTAGACTACACTCAGATCTCAGCAGCCTTGCTTGCACTTGCTAGTATCCCCAAAACTCTCTAGCAACAATGCTGGAATAAACACTGCCTATGTCTTAAACAAGTGAGAAGAGCTGGATAGAAGGCATCTGGAAACAATGCCCAACAGAAACCAGCTCTGTACAGTGGGCTGTGGGTGCCTGTGGAGCATCAGGCAGCAGCACTCTTGTACCAACAAAAAAGTAAATTGGCCTCAGGCATGTGTACCAGTGCTCTGCCTCCCCTGCCAGCCATCTTCACTTTCCCCTACTTCCCATGGCTCTGAAGATAAGAAAACTATAGTTCATAGCTTCACTTAAAAGCAGAGCCTTGAAATTATACCGTGCATACTATCTGATCACAATGCAGTAAAAATAGAACTCAACAACAAAAGTAAAGACAAAAAACATGCAAACAGCTGGAAACTAAATAACTCATTACTTAATGAAGAATGGATCATCAATGAAATAAAAGAGGAAATTAAAAAGTTCCTGCAAGTCAATGAAAATGAAAACACAACCTACCGGAACCTATGGGACACAGCTAAGGCAGTCCTGACAGGAAAGTTTATAGCCATGAGTGCATATATTAAAGACTGAAAGATCCCAAATCAATGACCTAATGATACATCTCAAACTCCTAGAAAAACAAGAACAAGCAAATCCCAAAACAAATAGAAGGAGAGAAATAATAAAAAGAAGAGCTGAAATCAACAAAATAGAAACCAAAAAACCATACAAAGAATTAATGAAACAAAAAGTTGGTTCTTTGAAAAAATAAACAAGATTGATAGACCCCTGGCAAACCTGACTAAAATGAGGAGAGAAAAAACCCAAATTAGTAGAATCAGGAATGCAAAAGGGGAGATAACAACAAACACCATGGAAGTCCAGGAAATCATCAGAGACTACTTGAGAACCTATATTCAAATAAATTTGAAAATCTTAAAGAAATGGACAGATTTCTAGATACATATGATCATCCAAAACTGAACCAAGAGGAAATTAATCACCTGAATAGATCTATAACACAAAATGAAATTGAAGCAGCAATCAAGAGTCTCCCCAAAAAGAAAAGTCCAGGACCTGATGGATTCTCTGCTGAATTCTATCAGACCTTTAAAGAAGAACTGATACCAACCCTCCTTAAACTGTTCCACGAAATAGAAAGGAAGGAAAACTGCCAAACACATTTTATGAAGCCAGTATTACACTTATCCCAAAACCAGGCAAAGACACCTCCAAAAAGGAGAACTATAGGCCAATCTCCTTAATGAACATTGATGTAAAAATCCTCAACAAAATAATGGCAAACCAAATTCAGCAACACATCAAAAGGATTATTCACCATGACCAAGTAGGCTTCATACCAGGGATGCAGGGGTGGTTCAACATACAAAATCAATAAATGTAATAAACCACATTAACAGAAGCAAAGACAAAAACCACTTGATCATCTCAATAGATGCAGAAAAAGCCTTTGATAAGATCCAACACCATTTCATGATAAAAGCTCTAAGAAAACTAGGAATAGAAGGAAAGTACCTCAACATTATAAAAGCTATATATGACAAACCTACAGCCAGCATTATACTTAACGGAGAAAAACTGAAACCATTCCCTCTAAAATCAGGAACCAGACAAGGATGCCCACTATCTCCACTCCTATTCAACATAGTACTGGAATTCCTTGCCAGAGCAATTAGGCAAGAAGAAGGAATAAAAGGAATACAAATAGGTAAAGAAACTGTCAAAATATCCCTATTTGCAGACGACATGATCCTATACCTTAAAGACCCAAAAAACTCTACTCAGAAGCTTCTAGACATCATCAATAGCTATAGCAAGGTAGCAGGATATAAAATCAACATAGAAAAATCATTAGCATTTCTATACACTAACAATGAGCAAACTGAAAAAGAATGTATGAAAACAATTCCATTTACAATAGCCTCAAAAAAAATCAAATACCTAGGTGTAAACCTAACAAAAGATGTGAAAGACCTCTACAAGGAAAACTATAACTTCTGAAGAAAGAGATTGAGGAAGACTATAGAAAGTGGAGAGATCTCCCATGCTCATGGATTGGTAGAATCAACATAGTAAAAATGTCGATACTCCCAAAGTAATCTACATGTTTAATGCAATTCCCATCAAAATTCCAATGACATTCATTAAAGAGATTGAAAAATCTACTGAAATTTATATGGAAACACAAGAGGCCACGAATAGCCAAGGCAATACTCAGTCAAAAGAACAATGCAGGAGGTATCACAATACCTGACTTCAAACTATATTACAAAGCAATAACAATAAAAACAGCATGGTACTGGCACAAAAACAGACATGAAGACCAGTGGAACAGAATAGAGGACCCAGATATGAAGCCACACAACTATAACCAACTTGTCTTTGACAAAGGAGCTAAAAATATACGATGGAGAAATAGCAGCCTCTTCAACAAAAACTGCTGGGAAAACTGGTTAGCAGTCTGCAAAAAACTGAAACTAGATCCATGTATATCACCCTATACCAAGATTAACTCAAAATGGATCAAGGATCTTAATATCAGACCCCAAACTCTAAGTTGATACAGAAAGAGTAGGAAATACTCTGGAGTTAGTAGGTATAGGTAAGAACTTTCTCAATGAAACCCCAGCAGCACAGCAACTAAGAGATAGCATAGATAAATGGGACCTCATAAAACTAAAAAGCTTCTGTTCATCAAAAGAAATGGTCTCTAAACTGAAGAGAACACCCACAGAGTGGGAGAAAATATTTGCCAGCTATACATCAGACAAAGGACTGATAACCAGAATTTATAGGGAACTTAAAAAACTAAATTCTCCCAAAACTAATGAACCAATAAAGAAATGGGCAAGTGAACTAAACAGAACTTTCTCAAAAGAAGAAATTCAAATGGCCAAAAAACACATGAAAAAATGCTCACCATCTCTAGCAATAAAGGAAATGCAAATTAAAACCACACTAAGATTCCACCTCACCCCTGTTAGAATAGCCATCATAGCAACACCACCAACAACAGGTGTTGGCGAGGATGCGGGGAAAAAGGAACCCTCTTACACTGTTGGTGGGAATGTAGACTAGTACAACCACTCTGGAAAAAAATTTGGAGGCTACTTAAAAAGCTAACATGATCTACCATTTGATCCAGCAATACCACTCTTGGGGATATACCCAAAAGACTGTGACACAGTTACTCCAGAGGCACCTGCACACCCATGTTTATTGCGGCACTATTCACAATAGCCAAGTTATGGAAACAGCCAAGATGCCCCACACCAACGAATGGATTAAGACAAATGGAATTTTATGCAGCCATGAAGAAGAACGAAATGTTATCATTTGCTGGTAAATGGATGGAATTGGAGAACATCAGTCTGAGTGAGGTTAGCCTGGCCCAAAAGACCAAAAATTGTATGTTCTCCCTCATATGTGGATATTAGATCAAGGGCAAACATAACAATGGGATTGGACTTTGAGCACATGATAAAAGCGTTAGCACACAAGGGAGGGGTGAGGATAGGTAAGACACCTAAAAAATTAGGTAGCATTTTTTGCCCTTAACGCAGAGAAACTAAAGCATATACCTTAAAAGCAACTGAGGCCAATAGGAAAAGGGGACCAGGAACTAGAGAAGAGGTTAGATCAAAAAGAATTAACCTAGAAGGTAACACACAGGCACAGGAAATTAATGTGAGTCAACTCCCTGTATAGCTATCCTTATCTCAACTAGCAAAAACCCTTGTTCCTTCCTATTATGGCTTATACTCTCTCTACAACAAAATTAAAAATAAGGGCAAAATAGTTTCTGCTAGGGGGAGAGGGAGGGGGCGGAGTGGGTAGTAAGGGAGGGGGTGGGGGCAGGGGGGAGAAATGACCCAAGCCTTGTATGCACATATGATTAATAAAAAAAAATTTAAAAAGCAGAGCCTTATGATAACCTAAGAAAAAAGGTCTCTCAGTTTCCATGAGGGATTGGTTCCTGGACCCCTTGCAGATACAAAAATCTGTTGATGCTCAAGTACCTTACATAAAATGACATAGTATTTACATATAGCCTATGTACATCTTCCTATATATTTAAAATCATTTCTAGATTACTTAAAATACCTAACACAATGTAAACTCTGTGTAAATAGTTATTATACTATATAGGAAATAATGACCAGGAAGAAAGTCTGTACATCTTCAATACAGATGCAGGGTTTTTTTTGTTTTGTTTTTTTATATTTTTTATCTACAGTTGATTGAATCATTGGATGTGAAACTTGTGGATGTGGAGAGTTCACTATGTATTATTTTATTCTGACCTAGGCTTACCTTATTCCTCAAGGCCAATGCTTTATTTCAGTCCCTCCCATTCTCCTTCCCTCCCTTTTTCTTTTTGAGGCAGGGTCTCATCATGTATCCCAATCTGGCCACAAACTTGTTATGTAGCCCCTGCTGGCTTCAAATTCAAGATCCTCTAGGATTAGAGGCTAGCAATTTCATCAGTGACTGATTAAGGCTTTGACATGCCATATGACACTATGACCTCCTAGTGTTCCCTGAGCCTACCCTACCTCACGCCACCCTAAGCTGCTTGCAATGACACGTCTTTCCTATGTAGCTGTCTTTCCCTTCCTTCCTTCCTTTTTTTCTGTTATAGCTGTTTTGCTTTTAATTATAAAATTAAAACTTGTTTAGTATAGAAAAATAAGAGAAAGAATAATATTCATAAGTTCATTTTTACCAAGCCCCTACTAAGTGCCCTGACTTCATACACTTTGTTTCATTTAATCCTATAGCTACTCCTTGAGGCAGGTAAGATTATTATCTCTCATATTGTAGATCAGAGTACTGAGACGTGAAGAGATTAAGTTATATTTCTCAAGGGTACCCAACTACAGTAAATAGTGCAGTCAGAATCCGAACTCAGGTCTATCTGACTCTAAAGTCCTTACTCTTATCCATTCTGTCACACTACTTTGAAAACATTTAGTGCTAGTATTTCCTTCTGGGATTTTTAAATTCGTGGGTTTTTTGGCACAATAGAATCATTCTGTGTACATAACTTTGAATCTTACCTTTTTCCATCTGTATTTTCCCATGTCAATATAAACACCTTGAAAGCATCCTTTTTAAATGTTTGCATACTATTGCACCAAGCAGGCACAATATGTAATTCACTTGACCTCTGCCCTACTGGTGGATATTTAGAATGATCCCAAGGTCTTATTAGCATAAACGGTGACCAAGGAACCCTCTTGGGGTCTAAAGTCAATGCAGTATTTCGGAATGTTTCTTTATAATACATTCCAAAGAGTGGAATTCCTGAATAAATAAATAGAAAGAACTCTTAGCTTTTAGACCAAAATTTCTCAAAATACCTTGTTTCCTAGGCCACCTGCGTTAGAATCCTCAGGATGCTTTTAAAATGCAACTTTCTGGACATCACTCCTGGCATATGTTATTGGAATCTTTGAGAAGTAAAGCTCTGTAATCAACATTTTAACAGACTCCCCAGGGGAATACATTGAATACCAAAACTTGAAAGCAATTGACCTACTTAAAATTGTCAATTCCTCTCCAAACTTATACCAATTTCTGCTCCCACTTGCATGTCCGAAATTCAGTGAACTACTCTCCCCACTCCCACACCCCTACACCTCCACATACATTCATGAACATATTCATAGGAAGCACTCAAATGATATCAGCACACCATGGGAGACCTAGGATCTCCCTCTCTTCAGCTTGCTGCATCTATCAGGGTCTGAGTTTCTGACAGGCCAATTACCAAGAAAAATGAGTAACCAACAACTCTTAGGGAAGCTGCAGAGGGTGAATACTCAGGCTGGAAAAACAACCCCTCTCTACTTCCTGGCCCATGTTTCACACCTGGGAAATCAAGCCATCTTAGGAGAACTGAGCAGTGGTGGTGGCAGTGGTAGGTGTGTACAATAAGCTGGCTGTTGCCCTCGGGCCTGTTCCTTCCTAGTTGAGCACAGCTATTGATTATTCTCAGATGTAGTTTTCCCAGCTCTCACACAAAATTGGCCCCAGGAGGAGTGGGACACTCCTGCCACTCGTCACAGGCTTATTTGAGCTGCAGCATGTGAGTAGGGACAATAACATGGATTTGGGGACCAGATATGGAACTGAATGCTAAATCTGCCATTTATTAGCTATGTTACTTGGATAATTGACTTTAGCTCTTAATACTTCTATGTTTCTTTCTGAAAATGGTGTTAATAATCACTACCATGAAGCACATAGCATTGTGCCTTACCTATTGAGACTCCAATAGAATCTGGCTGCCTTTAATCCTTGCTCCCATCTGGAGGTCCTCTGCTGCCTCACAGTCAGTAAAGAGCCTAGTTCTTGGGATTGGGAGAGTGGCCCAAGTGGTAGAGCACCTGCTTAGCAAGTGAGAGGTCCTGACTAAACCCCAGTATAGCCAAAAAAAAAAAAACTTGGCTCTTACCTGTGTTGTAGTGCTTGGTGCAGTAGCCTAGATCCTTCTCATCCCGCAAGATAAATTGGGGCAGAGTCAGCCCTTCTGCCACTTGGACAGCAGGAGCATCTTCCAGCCACTCAAACATGAGGTCATTCATGGTATAGCCAACTATAAGTGACAGAGATGGCAGAGAGCTGCAGAGTGTAGGTGTTGGGTGGGAATAGAGGCAGGGTCAGAACTGGTAAAAATGAGTAGATGAGGAATAAGACCCGGGGTTTAGGAAATACATGCTCATCTTAGAAAGGAAAACTTTCCTGAAGCGGGTACTTGGTCAGTTGTCTTATGGGCCCATCCTAGTGGGCAATCCAGGAAGATTCCAGACTCCTCTCCTACCTAGTTCTCAAGCTAGAGAAAGGCCCAAAGAGAAATTATTCTGCTATACCTAGAATGTAGGGCAAGGGGGTTGGAAAGATTTCAAGGACCCCAGCTGGGAACCTCCTGCCATATTTCAAGCCCAGAGGAATAAGCACATGTACCGACCACATGTCTTGAACTGAGCTAGCCCAAAGCCAGGGATTCTGCCACTTCACCTCAGGGAAGAGAAAGCTATTTCTGTCCTGCCAGTTGTGCGTAGGACAATGTGCATATCACAACTCCTATCCAGGGCCTTGAATTGGGACAAATTGGGAGTTAATATTAACTCAGTTAATTAACATGCCAAATTCCTCACAGACAGCTAGCAGTTCACGAAAGCTCATACCATGTATAGGGCCATATTCACACATGTCAGGAAAGATAGGAGCAGAAACACCAAGTCTCACAGAATCCAGTGTAGGGCCTTGACCTAGAGTAGCTGTGTGACTTTAGGTAAGTCACTTTCTCTCTGTAAAATGAGGATAACAGTAGCTGCTCTACTTATTTTTCAAAGTTGTTGTAAAGGAGTAATTGGAAAGCAGATGTGAAAGTAGTTTATGAACTCTGAGGTGCTGACACAGGGCATGTTGGATGCATCTCTGTTGTTATGTGCAAAGAACAGCTCTAAAGCCTTCTTTGAGGATCTTGTGGCTTTCTCCTGATTTCAGTCTCACCTCACCCAGGAAATAAGAGAGTGGCAACTCTGTACTTTGGGCAGCACCTACATGTTGGCACCTCTGCCATAGAGGAACTCCTTGTTGACTTCCCCTTCCTAGACATTGATCTGTGCCTGAAACTGTCCTCTCCTACTTTCCTAAAATTGTTACCTATATTCATGGGGAATCAAATTTCAGAGAGTACCCCTACCCTGCCCAACACTGGGTATCTTCAGTGTCTTAACTCAAAAGAAGTAAAGGTAAACCTACTTCAGACACTGCAAGAGGGAACATACCTTTGGGCAGAGGATGTGCCTTTTGAATAATCCCCCACAGCCAGCACAAGTACATTTGTATATAAGGACTAGTGCCTTCCCATTTCCCATCCCTGAGGAACAGCCAGCTCAGCAAGTAATGTGTCAGAGAGCCCTGGCTTCTAGTCTCATCTGTGCCAAGAATTCACTTGCATGTGTTAGGCAAGTCCCTCCCTACTCTAGGATAGGGGCTTGTCCTGTCTGGAATATCACGAGGGCTGGGATTATTTATCTGTTATTCTAGGCCTTGCTCTGGGACTCTCTAAAGACACTCACAGCTTTCCAGCTGCATCGTACAGGTCTGGATATCCATGGGAAAGTTCTTGAGGTCCATTGGACAGGACAAAATGAGGGTCAATCTGGTGGAGACAGTAAGAAAGAAGTGACATAAGCTTACTGGGTTGAGCAGCACACACAGTGACCCCCTCCCCCACCCCTCTGCCTCCATCTGGCTTCTTCCTCTTGTGAATTCTCTTATCTGTCCACCTGGTGCACCTGATGCTGTAGAGCACGTTCCCATTCTTGAAGATGCGCAATAACTTGTTGTCTGTGGTCACCTCATGGAAGTTAGCCCCCTTCTCATTGGCAAAGAACAGGTCTGGCTTCCAGATAGAGTCCAGCATGGAGGGGTCAAGATCCAGAGAGTCATCAGGATATTCTCGGTAGGCCAGGCGTGGGTCATTCCACTGCTGCCGCAAGAACACATTCACTCGATAGTCCTGGGAGGTGTGAAGATAGGCCCATCAGAAGCAGTGTGATTCCCAGGGGCCCAGCAAGCCTATATGGTCAGGAGGGTTAAGAAGAGGAAATGTTTGGGGCGTATCTTAGGGTCAGTAGGTATTTTGCACTGGAGAAAGATCCTGCTTTGAGCTGAAATGGCAAAAATGGGAAGGGAAAATGCAATATATGTATATATCTTCTATATGCCAGGCTCTCTGCTAAGTGCTTTTTATATGTATTATCTCATTTAAATCTCATACCAACCTTGTGTGTCATGACCACTGTTTTGCACATGAGAAACTGAGACCAACAGAGATTTTAGTAAATTTAATTAGCTATTAGGGGTATATTCAGGTTTTGAACTCAGTGTTTCTCTGATTCCAAAGTATGTACTCTGCATTAAGCTATACATGTTTGACTGTTGACTTAAGCTAGTCTGTCTTTAACCATGGAAATTCTGGGCTGAAGAATGTCCTCCTGGTGACCAATTTCAGACATGACCATGAAACAGGAAGAGGACAGCAGAGGAAGGAAATGCTTGCTATCTGGTTGGCTTCCCCCATTCACACTGCCGTAGAAGCAAGAAACAGGAACCCTTACCATGGTGGTCTCAGTGACAGAGCCGAAACTGTTGATGAAGATGTTGCAGGTCACATTCACAGGTGGGCCTAAGGATAGCAAAGATAGTCCATTGGCAGAGCATTCCAGGAGGCTAAGAGCAGGTCCAAAATTCCCTCCCTGAGCTTCAGGCTGGGAGCACTTCTGCGAGAAGACTGGCAGTTACACAAGCCCATGGGCAACAGGGAGGTGAGGCTCTTTGTGAGCTAGAGGAACTAGACTCTGGACCTTTAGCCTCTTTCCTTGGTGCAGGCCACAGGAGCTAACTGGATAGTATGCCACCAAAAATGGTAAGGAGGGAGGGGATTATATAGGATGAATGTTTCTTACCTTTAAAATTGGGCCGAATTCTGGCATCATATCCAGATGTTCGTCCCATAAGCTTGTCCAGAAAATCAGAGGGGGACATGGGTTGGGACCCTTTGGTCCCAGATTTGACATCCTCTTTTGCCAAGGCCACCCTGGACAGGAGATGTAAAGAAGTCTGAGGCCAGTTTTATTTTTCACTTTTCATAGACTCATCCATCCCCATCCATCTCTGACTGGTGTCCCAATCAGGCAGGAATATAAGAGAGGATGGGTACCAGTGTACAAAACAAAGAAAACAAAACAAAAACAGCCCCTGCAAACATGGCAGTTCAACAATTAGTCCTAGGAAAGGGTTGTCACATAGATTAGGTTTTTTACCCTCAATTCTCATTCACCTGGAGGTGAGAACTGTTCTATCCATTTTATGGATTAGAAAACGGAAGCTTAAAAAGGGATGACTTGTCCAAAGTCTGAGAACTAGTGAGTGACAGTGTCAGGACTCAAACACTGGGCTGAGGACTCATCCAGTGTTTTCTTCCTGAAGGTCCTTTGAAAACACTGAAATGAAAGTGACATCTTGCTAGTTGCAATGTTTTTCTGATCTGGACTAGCCAAGAATGGGAGGGGCTTGAGGACAAGTGGCATTACTGAAAGTTGGTGTTAGTTGCTTGGGCTTCATGTGAGACTTCTTAGAACTTAAAACTAGCTTCTGAAGAAAGAGACTTGGCTTCTGACATTTGTTGTAGCAGGAAGCTATGTTTTGAGCTATGCTTTAGTCCATGGTTGTGGCTGCTGCAGGCAGGTAAAATCAACTATGGTGAGGAAGCAGGGATCTATAGGCATGGGAGAACATCCCAGTAGTGTGGGCATGCTGAGGTTAAACTAACATCTTAATTTGGGGAAAGGGGCCAGTATGCTTTGGCTTTGCCTAGAAACCCAGCCTCCTCTCCCCTGACAAGTTTCCCTCTGAGAGTATCAAAACCCATTCCATATGTCTGCTTTACCAGCTTATAGAGTAAGGACCAGCTGATAGACTAGGGACCAACAAGTAGACTAGAGACTAGGGCTCAGCAAAGCCTTGGTGATTTTTGCTCAGAGCTGAACTCAGGCTGGACTCCTGGCCAGGTCAGGTAGCTTCCTGTTCCATCTTGCTGTTGTCACTGTGCTAGCTCTACTGCTCTACTGCTGCTATGGGTGCTGCTGCATGGTGGGGCTGGTGAGCATGGTGACTACTGTCCTTATGGGTCCTATTCTCCTTTGACTCAGTGAACCTCTATTTCCCAAGAAGTCTGTGCACCAGCCAGTGACTGGTAGAATAATGAAATAAGTTAAGGCAACATACTAGACCCTTCACACACCTTATCTAATTCAGTTCTCATGTCATTCCAGACTGATTGTCATTATTACAGTTAGCCCTCTGTATCCATGGGGCATTAATTCCAGGACTCCCTTGTTGATACCAAAATCTGTGGCTGCTCAAGTCCCTTATATAAAAGGATATAGTATTTGCATATAACCTATGCAATCCTCCCATATACTGTAAATCATCTCTGGATTACTTATAATACCTAAAATAATGTAAATATTATGCAAATAGTGTTAAACTATAATGTTTAGGGAATAATGATGGGGAAAATATCTGTATTTACTCAGTCCAGGTACAATTAAAAAAAACCAATATATTTTTGATCTGTGATTGGTTGAATCTGCAGATGTAGATTCAACATGGATATAGAGGGCCAACTGCATATAGATGAGGAGACTGAGGGTCGGTGAGTTGAGGTAACTTCTTCACAATTATACAGCTAGTGACTGGTACCACTAAGATTCAAACCCAGAGCTATTGACTTTAACACTCAATCTATCTACCACTATACCATGAGGAAAGCAGCCCAGAGTTAGCTGCCAAGGAACTAGAGTGAGGAAAGTTCAGTGGCAGTCCTACTGTAACCTCCTAGAGTCCTGCTTTCTTAAATCCCTGAAGCAGGAAGAAGCCCTTACCCTGGGGACAGAGACCACCCTGGCCCCCAGAAGGAGCAACAAGAGCAGGTGGCCTGAGCAGGTGGCCTAAGCAGGCTGTGGAAATCCGAGGAGGCTGGTAGTGGTGCTGGAGCAAGCAGAAGTCTGTGGCTTCACCACAGGATGTCCACGCTAGGCAGGTGCTTCTGCTGCTGTTGCTGCTGGTCATCTGCCACCCGCCTGCTGAGAGGACACATGGCCCTGCACACAGAGCAACCAGACTTTCCCCACTGTCCTCAGCTCCACTCTCAGGTCACCTCTCCCACTAGTCCCATCCTAGGCCCTTGGTATGGCTGTGGACTCTCATGTCTTCAGCCCTAATCTCTGCTGTAGGCCCTCTTCTAGGGCCACCTTCTGTAAGTAGAGTCACTGTGTGCAGCACTCCTTTGTTCCTTTCATTCCTGGAAAGTCTCAAACACTGGCAGAACCTAGGAAGATCCAGAACTAACAGTCCTCAAGCAAGGCCCTGGGGTGGGAGGGGGGAGCAAATTCTGATTCAGATACCCCTAAACATGAGTGACCTTGGGCAGGTACGCCCCCTCTTTAAGCCTCCATTTCCATATGTACAACAAAGACTTGGACTTCAGATTCTTGAAAGGCCAATTTTGCTCTAATCACTTCCAGTCTTGGGTCTTGAGGTACCTCCCCTCCAAAAGGGCCAACAAGGCTCCTTTGGGTGCTGCATCCTGTCAACTCCAGTAGAGCTGCCATTCTACTTTGAGCTGCTTTTCACTCCTAAGTTTACTGTCCTGCTCTGCACCTCTTCCTGTCTGCCAGGCAATGTGTGGGCAAGCAATGGAGCAGGAGCCTCCTGGGGTGCTCTTTGGATTAGAGGAGGAGGAGGAAAATACAGTGGTAACCTGCACTCCTTCCACCTTGAGAGCCATTTTTCCTGCTCAACTCATCCTGTCAACCTAGACTGGTTCCTGGTACAATGAGACAGGGGCAGTTGGTGGGAGGGCATTTACAAGGAGTCCCAAGCATGCCTTGCCTACAAGGAATGACTGCTACTTGATGTCCCTCGAGGGACAGTGAGCAGCCATGTGTACACAGGCAGAAAGCCAAGGTTTGGGTAGTCCAGCTCCATCCTGATGTGGTCTTAGGGCAAGTCCATGCTGACTGAAGCCACTTGCCCAAGTAGCTGACAGATATTATTGTCAATTTTAGAGATCTGAGTTATATGTGGTCCAGTTGGTAGAGAGACAGGGTTGGGTGGACGGACAGATGGCCTCCATTTTCGGGCTCAGCTACCTAACCCCTACCCAGGCCTAGAAAACTCACCCATACAGAAGCCCTCACACCAGCACAGGGTCCTTGACATCTGCAGTGAAAAGCTCCTGGGTCCTGGTTGGGGGAGAGTGTGTTCTTTCCCTGAGTATTCCAGACTGTGGGCTTATTTGCAAACTTAGAGGAAACTCTGCCAGCTACCCCGCTGCCCTCACCCCCAGCCAGTGTTTGCATGCACCTCCTTCTTACCCCCACTTAGCTCACCTGAGGAGGACCTGCCCTGGCAGGTCCAGAGGAGAAGGGAAGGAGAGGGTTGCAGGAACAAGAGTTGTCATTCCACGGGAACCTTGGAGCCCTTTCTCAGCTTGGCTGCCAAGGTGAGGGTGAACGCCAAAAGTACAAAGCCTTCCTCCAAATTGGGCTGCCCTCAAGAAGCCCGTGGGGCTAGGCTAGGAGTTGTGCTCTCTTTCCTCTTCTGCCTCTTCTCCTCTGCCCTGTCTTTACCAGTCAAGGGCCAGAACTATTCCCCTGAAAATGATCCTGACAAAGATAACCCTACAGACTCTCTGCGGAGGGCCTCAGCCTGCTGGCCAGGGAGCCAAAAAAGATTCTCTTTGGGTAGCAGTCACTCTCCAAACCCTGGAGAGTCTTAGAGGGAGGGAGGAGGGAGACTGCTAGGAAGATGTTTCCCTCCCTCCCACCTCCCCCTGGATGCACCCTCTGAAAGCAGCAATTTAAAGGCACAGTCGCCAGCAGCTGGAGTGGGGTTCCAAGCCTGTCTGTGTGCTGGGGAGGAGCTTGGGCTGCTGCTGCTGCCTGAGGAGAGCCTGAGGTGTTCTGTCCAGCCTCCAGTTCTCCAGCTGGAGAAGAACACGTAGGCGGCCCTGCTGCCCCCCCACCCAACAGCTTTCCTTTTAGCCTAGAGCTAATCTGGGGCCCAACAGTAAAGTCCTAGTGGTTTTCATAAGGGGAAAAAGACCTCAGAGAGTTTAGGTGGAGCCACTGGGAAGCCTCAAGCTGACAGCTTCAGGTGAGAGGAGGCTGAGGGCAGGGACAGCTTTTCCCCAGCCTCTGGGTGGAGGCACAGAGGATGATACAGGTGATTTTTGGAGCCCTCCTCCTATATGGTCGGCCTACTTGGCAGTCAGTCTATCTACCTGTCTGCTCCTACCCCTCCGCCCTTCATTCTTGTACTTGTGCATTCTTTCCCCTGCCTGCTTTTCTCCTTAGGTTATCTCTGGGAAGATTGGGACTGCTATACATCTCAAAATCCCTCCTCCTGGATACCCGTTCCCCAGCCCTGCTCTTGTGAAGGACAACTGTCCTTGGTGGGGGCAGGGCAGAGCATGGCTGGGACACCGACTGGCAGGTTTTGCAGACTTCAGAGGAATCCTGGAAGAGGACCCTATGAAGAATAGTGATCTTGCACCCTGCAGCCCTGGATGGAAGGCAGAGGGGGTGTTCTGGCCTCCTGCCTTGCCTTCTGCACATTTGCTTACAGCGTCAGAGGCTTCAGCAGCTCTATTTTTACTGCCTGACCCGTCCCCAAACTTTCCTGTGCATCATCTAAACAGCTCTGGACTTCCCCCAGTGCCTCTTCCTTCTTCCTTTTTTCTCTCCTCTCCTCCTCTCTTACTCCCTTTCTCACTGAAGTTTTCCTTTATTTTTCATCTCTCCATCTCAGTCTCCCTCCATGTTTTTTTTTTGTGTCTCACCTTCTGTGTCTCTCTCACTTCTTTCCTACTCCCTTTTTCCCATCTCTGTTCTCTCTCTGATGCCCCTGTATCTTCAATCTCTCACACTTCCTTCCTAAATTAAAGCAGTAAGAAGCCAAGGGTTATCATTTCTTCTTCAGCAGAAGCTCTCCCACCAGCTCTGCTGAACTTGAGTGTGTACTAGAGGGAGGGATCAACCCCATCATCTGACTGCAGCCTCCCTAGCCTTTCCAGAGAGGTGTTTGTAAGCTCCCCCACCCCAGGACCTGTTGCCTATAATCATAAGAAGGCATCCACATGTAGAACTTGGGCAGCATCTCCCTTTTGGGCTTTGTTGTTATTAAGGAAAGGGAATTTTCAAATCACAAATGAAAAGGAAAGAAGAGAATTGCAAGAATACATTTTGAAATATTGATGAGTGAGCTGAGCTTTTGGAATTGGGACTAAGAACATTATATGTCTCAAATAATGTCTGTATAAAACAAAATACTAATTATCCTAGAAACATCCTTAGCTGCCCTTTTACACAACCCTCCTCCTTGTTTCCCTTAAGCATCACAGTCCCTACTCCATGGACAAGAATGGGACCTTATAGAACCCTTCAGAACAGAGATGCAGGCTGGAAGCTGAAGGGGACACTTGTATTCTTTGTGTAACGCCCCCTCCTCTCACCTTCAATCCTGATCTTGTTACTTTTCTCCACCTCAACAGTTTCCCATTACTCTCAGGTTACAGTCCAAGGCCCTCTGTGATCTGGTCATTCTGCTCCTTCCACATATGCTAGAGTTGCCTATGCTGTCTTTCCAGTTGTGGGTATTTTCACATGATATACCCTACAAACTACTCTCCTCTCCATTCTTACTCTTCTGGTCTGAGGTTTGTTGTCGTTTTGTCATGGAAGTCTTCTTGAACTGTCCCTATTGCCCTCAGGTCTGAGTCAGGAAACCTTTAGTGTGTTCTTCCAGATCCTCCCCTTTCCCCTTCTCAGCACAGGCACACTCTACCACAGCACCGGCTTACTTTCCTTTCTTTCCTACTATCAAGAGACATATTATTTTCAAATCCCCAGCACAGTATAGGCAATTAGGAACATTTGTTAAAGATGCATCCTGGGCACCCAGGACCCTTGCTCAAGCTCACTGCTTGTACATCTCTTTGTCAAAAAAGAGTAAGTTTGACACACACAGAGAGAGGGCCAGCAAGAGGCAATGGTAATAAGGAGAAATGAGGAAGCAATTTTTATTTCCTTGTCCCTTGGGCCTGTGACCTCACACTTAGTTTCTCTGGAATATCATTGGCTAATGGAAGCCATAGGCCCCTGGAGACTGGTCCATTGTCTCAGTCTCACTCCTCTTGTGGTTCAAAGGATTCCTGAGTGCTGAGAGTATGGCAGGGTCAGCTTCCTGGGAAGAATGATCCCTTCTTGTGAGATGCTGCAGCAATGAGCAAATATCTGGCTGGCATGATGAAGAGGTACAGCTTTCCTAGGTCCTAGGAGCAGAAGGAGGAAAGGAGACAAAGAACTGGGTAAGCTGCTGCTGCTCAGAGTTGAATAGCATCAAAATTCCCTGTACCAAGAAGGAATCCACACTCTCTGAAGTTGACCTCAGCATCTTCTGGTGTGGGAAGGGTACAAAGTTGTATCCAGCCTTTCCCCCTAACCATTTTCTCTTCTCATTACCAAACTATGGTGTATATGAATCTCTATGTCCCAAAATGTATCGCACCTTTTCCTGTTTGGCAGTTGGGTGCCATGCTGCCTGAGAACTGGCTTCATTGCAGTGCTGAGGTGGTATAGAAGCTACAATAGGACAATGTGCCTTTCAAAATGAAATACATATTTTGTTGAAAAAAAACTGAACTGCTAAAAAATGGATTAAGCACATTTTCATAAATATTTGATTCCAGGAAAGAGGTTCATCACAGTTCAGTCCTATGCAGGAAAATTGCAGCTGCACCCTGCTGACAAGCAGGCTTCCTGAACTCTCCATCTGAGGAGCAGCAGATTGTGTTGGGGGTTGATATTGTTTGTAAATTCAGTGAGTTCTAAACTGCATTTTGAGGACCCAACTCCAATTAACCAGGTGATGTGGCCTCATATTGCTTATCTTATTATTATTATTATTTATTGAAGTAGAAAGTGGACTGAGAGGTACCTCACAGGGTACCTAATCTGAGGAAATTTCCAGAGCTTTA